TCAACGCTCAAGTAAGAACTTGTTCAACAAATATATACGAAAATATGTAACTTAAGGCGTAGAATGCGATATGAATGAAGAACAACCTGACACCCTTATATAGGGTAGTTGATGCCCAAGAGACTCCTTGTTAGGAAAGAAATCCAACTAGATCATACTTCCTAACTTACCACATCTTTATCTAGGCACGTCCCTTGAGCAAATGATACTTTTCTTTTTACTAGGATTCTTTCCCCTTTACTACACAACTATTAGGTCCCCAGGCCGTAACCTCAACCTCATGACGAACTTGTTGCAGCTTACACAAGGTCAAACCTGACCTCATCCTGAGGTCTGACCTGGTCTTAGATCATATGACCTCGATACCTCGAGTTCAGCCTCATTATAGAGGTCCTAGAGTTCGGTATCTCTAGTTTTGATATAGCACTCAGAAGTATCTAGGCAGAACGGTCTGAGCAGGCTCAGTTAAGTTTGGGATAGGAGAGCTCCAATGTGTACAGAGGTAAGATGCTTGGTCAAGCAACTTGGAAGTGGGCTTAAGGTAATGAGCTTCGAGCCCAGCAAACTAACCGACCTCGAGTGTATTGAGGTCGGGTGGTCAAGGGGCAAGATAGTCCTAAAGACGAGGTTGGTCTAGACCTCAGAACAAGGTCAGAAACCCCCTTGAGAAGGCCACAACATACTTCTCAGGAGGTCAAATATATGACCTAAGGATCCATGGGCTGAAACAGTAAATGGGGGAAAATCTAAGTAAGAAGGAAAGAATCATTCGCGCAAGTACTTTTACCAAGATAGAGACGTAGTAAGTTAGAGAAGTAGAATCTGGTTAAATCTCTTTCCTAAGAGGAACTCTCTTCGGCCCTAAGGTATTAAGCCCTATATAAGGGCGACGAGTTCTCTTTTATCATCAGCACACATTTTCTATGCCTTATATATTCTTAAGCCTACAGTTTGAGCGAGTTCTGACTTGAGCATCAGAGAGTTTTCCGCCATGACCTGCACCCGGCTTGTTGCAGGTTATCGGAGCTGAAGGAAGAGGAACGTTCAAGGCGTAAGTGTTCAATCTGTTCGTGACCAAAAGTGACGTAACAGTTGTTATGCGACATAATATAACATATGGAAATTATGCGATTGATTTGGATATGCGATTCGTAAACTATGCAAAAATATGTCGCAAAACCACAAAATATATGACATTCAATTTGGATATACGAAAAGTTATCGCATATGGTAATTATCCGGTGGACTTTGACATGCTAGTACGTAAACAATGAGAAAATATGTTGCATAATTGTAAAATATGCAGCTATCATTTTGGATATCATATATATGCGAAATGACTTCGCATATCGTAAATTATGGGGCAGTTTTTGATATGCATGCGATTACAACAATTTTTTTGTCCAAACGATAGAGGTATTATATTACTAAAACCCGCACAAAGTGCAAAAAGAAAGCAGCCAGTAGTTGAATAATACAACCAAAGACTGATAAAACTAGGAGGCCAATCCAAAGATCGCGTAGAGCCTGCTAACAACGCTAGAATGATAAACTCTCGCAACTATACAAACTACCACGAACAAACTAAAACAACTAGAAAGATCCCAATGGGATAATGCCGGAGTGTGGGATCCCAAAAGAATAATAAGGTCACACCCTGGCTCACAAAGACCAAATGGCCCCCAAAAAACATGAACCTAAACCACACAAGCACAAACACAAAGAGAACAACCAAAAAAAGACAAAACTAACAATAAACAAACATAGCCCTTCCCCAACGAGGTAACCGATCCCAGCACAAGGCACCACCGGAACAAGGACTAAACACCCCGTAGCTTGATCTGAAAGCCAGAACGCCACTCCCGCCACTGCCTTACGCCTAGCAAAGGACGAGTCCCGAGCCTCGAGCTACTCCAAGGATGAAGCCGACCCATAGCCGGAGAAGCACCGATCGGTCCCCCACACGCCAACTGCCCAAGACTCGGCCAAAACCACTGGCCAAGGACGGGCTTGCCGGACGTCCGACTCCCCAGGGGACGCGAATCAACCACCTCAGCCTCAGCCGACTCAACTCAAACGAGCTGAGCCACCGGAGTCGCATCCAACATGTACGATATATACTTAAGTACTTCGCATAATATTTAACTATTTGTCCAATTTGGATATGCGTTGATCTATATGCGACAATATCTTGCTTAATTGTTAATTATGTGGTTCATTTGGATATGTGCGTTTCATATCTCGCATATCATTTTGGGATGAAAAGGATGTTTTTATATGGGAGAGTGTGTAAAAGAAATACCATGTATATATCGAGGTGTAAAAAAAATTGTTTGTGCATTTTAACTCGCAAAGGTCGGGTTGGATATAAGATTTTTTTTTTTTTTTGAATTTTTAGTTTGGTTTGATTAATTTTGAAAAATACGGTACGATTAATTGTGAATGTGATTTTGAGTTTACACTAAAATAATATTTAAAATGAAAAAATTAAATTAGAATTGATATAAAAGCAAAAAAGATTTGATGTGAACCGATAGTAATTAAGTTAAACTTATTGGAATTGATGAATAGTAAATTAAAGTTGATATAATGTGTAACAATATTTGATCAATAATATATATTATATTGATAACATTAAAGATAGTTGAGTTAAGTTAATTGAGTTAGATTTCGAGTATAGAAAAAAAAAAAAAAAAAAAA